GCAGCAGCAGCAGCAGCAGAAGTCACACTCCCAGCCTTCCACAGCAGAGCCCAGACCCAGGCCGTCGCCTCCACGGCCTTCCTTCCCTTCAGGGAGTGGTGGTAGTGGGGGTGGAGGTGGGGGCAGGTTTCATGGACCAGAAACAGACAGAGGGGGTCGGGATGAAGAGGGAGGCTCTCGACCCCACCACAACCATAACTCTAACGCTAACTCGAATAACTCAAACTCTCACTTAGACAGACAAAGGAGGAATGACGCTGTGGCCGCGTCAGCTGGGACCCTCCACATCTCGTACGCCCATCCTCCTGCGCTGCAGCCCTCCTCCGCTGCCGGCCCGCCCCACACCTCCACGCCCAGAGAGTCTATCAGAGAGCAGCGAGTCAGTGCGCCGACATATGTGCCTTCTGTGGAGGTTTACGACGAGCGGACTGGGCCCATCCAGATCGCCTCACAGGCCCGCGACAAACACGGGGAAAAACACAGAGAAAGAGAAAGAGAAAGGGAACGAGACAGAGACAGAGAGCGTGAGCGGGACAGAAACAGAGAGAGGGAGAGCTACAGGTTTCCTGAGAGGAGCCTGATGGAGCATCCACGACTCTCCCAGTCTGGCGATTCAAGCAATCAAAGAGAAGAAGGTTCTGTCATTTGTTCCAATGGTTCCATTGGTAAACGAGGACAGGACCCTTCCTACTCCTCCAGTCAATCAAGGTTCAGCCCAGAAACCAGGGACATCCCTAAACACTCGCTTCGATTGGGTATAGAGCGGGCAGGGGCGGAGCCTAAGTGGAATACTATCAGCCCATTAGCCAACTATGCCACAAGTCACATGGCTGCTCTGGCAGCTCAACACGGACACACACTCTCATCTCCCCACAGCCAGCAGACGCACACACAAATGTCCCATTCCCCTCACACAACCCACCGGTCCAGCAACAACCCGCACTCCGCCCACAGCCATTCCCCCCAGACACACCCCTCCCAACACGGACACGGGCATGCAGGTGAGGAGGGGAGTCAGAGACGCTACCTGGACCCATCGGCGCTCTACCGACCTGGGGGATCACTGGCAGGGGGGTCCAGTGGTGGGGAGCGAGGCGGTGGAGCGTGTTCGGATCCCACAGAGGTTTCAGCCATGCAGAGTCTGATCAAATACAGTGGAAACTTTGCTGCTGAGGGCCCTGGGTCTTCCAGGCACGCCGCTGACGGACGAGGGCCCTTTGGGGGTCTGGGTAACATTGTGTCCGAAGCCGAGAGGGAGAGGGAGAGGGAAAAAGAGAGAGAGCGGGAAAGAGAGAGGGAAAAAGACAGAGATAGGGAGAGAGAGAGGGAAAGGGTGTCGGTTGGACCAGGTGCTTCAGGGGCGTTGAGAATGCCTCCCCAGCTGAAGAGGGAGCAGGAGCGGCCAGACAGCGCCCGCTCTTTTGGCCGGGAGGGGGAGGGGGAGGTGCGCCACCCACCGGTCGGCATTGCCGTCGCCGTGGCCCGGCAGAGAGACAGTGGGAGCGCCAGTAAACAGCCCAGCGGACCTTCAGACACACAGAGAACCTTGCTGCAAACTGCTATTAAAGGTAACGATGTCTTTCATGTAAGATGAACTCACTGGTCTACTGCTAAACACAGTTTTTAATGCCTCGTCATCATTTAAAGGTCCAGTGTGTATCATTTATGAAGATCTATTGGCAGAAATGGAATATAATATTCATAAGTATGTTTTCATTAGTGTATAATTCACCATATAAAAAATCGGCATGTTTTTGTTAGCTTAGAATGAGCCGCTTTTATCTACAGACACCTCGGTTCCATGCCATGTTGAACTGCCATGTTTCTACAGTAGCCCTGAAGGGA